TGGTTCCGTGAAATTTTTTGACAGGTAAATTATCTCGGGAATCACAAAGTCTACAAGACTGAAATTTTAGGGTAGTGACCGCCCATGTATGACTTTACAAATTCAATTCCAGCTTTCTCGTGCTGTCGGGTATCACTTACGGCCTCGTGAAAATTTTGGCGGGTAAACTACCAGCTCGGGAGTCACGGAAAGTTTTTCACCGTTCAAGGTTTCAAATTCAGCTTTCATGCGCCGGCGCGTGAAATTTTTAACTAAGATTAAAATATGAAAATCATTAATAGGCAATCGTTCGATGGGCTGAACTGCACAAAACGCATGATCGCACCGGCTACTCTGGTGCGCGTTGCCATTTATTTATATTTCGCACTAATTACATGCGATCGTCTCGAGTCCTTCCTAAACTTTCACAGCTTAAAGCTTTTAACGCTCGTAGTCCAGCGCTGTTTCACCGTTCCCCTTCTAACCGAATCTTGCCCTTGGATCCAAGCAGTCGCGATTTTACGTGTATCCTGTGACATGCAAGACAAAAAATAAGTATACGAAGGGAGCGGAAAGGAGGCGAGCGGGTTCTCAAGTATGGGCACGTGAAAATTTTGGCTGCAGAATTGCTAACTTTCGAGGTTGTCGCAGAACTAATAACAATTTCGACCCCTTGATGTCTTCTGGACTGTGTAATTATCTAATTTATAACTTCCTTTCGGCCGAATAGTATTTTAGCGTAAAAAGCTGCCATGTCCAGAAATATCATTCAAAAAGAGCCCGTAGGGTCTTACCGCGATTTCAAGTTATTGCGAAAATTTAGCTCGGCTCATGGAGGGGAAAACATGAGAATTCGCGGGGGTTTTGAAATGTTTGGCGTGTTTTCCCGTTTGCCAATTTGCAGGGTCTGCTTTTTTCATGCATGTTGTTCTCGGCACCGATCATTAGGAGTTGCTGGCTCGGCTCGGCTTCTGCCCCAATTCGTCTGCTTTTCCTGACCACTACCCATTGTCCACTGTGTGTACATTTCAAGGAACAGTTGGACAGCTATATCAGAAGCAGACGAGCAGCAGATCGTCGCCCAGTGCTCGTGGAAACCGTCGATATCCAGAGAAACAGGCAGTACTATGAGGTTAGTGTTGTTTTATTTCAGTTCCGTGATACTTCGGTAGCGTATTTTCAGGATTTCTCACCGACTT